GATTTTTTCAATCTTTTACATTCACACAACCTTATTCGATATGTTCTATGTTTTAGTTTGCAGCAGTATACAATTCATATCATATATCATTCAACCGATGGCCTTTTATGGAAAGTGCCCCTATATGCAAGGCGCCCCTATATGCAAGGCGCCCCTATATGCAAGGCGCCCCTATATGCAAGGCGCCCCTATATGCAAGGTAACGTTACCAACACTGCTGCCTCTCTAGCTTACCTGTGTTGAGGAGCAGTGTGTCTAATATCAAACTTGTCTTCCTCGTCGTCGCCTTCTTCTTCTTCCACATGTTTCTGACTAAGGTGCTTTAAAACAACCTTATAAGCTTGTTCAATCCTCGCAAACTTCTCTGGATCAGCCTTGGACTGACCGCTATCAGGATGGTACTGTTTAGCAAGTTTGAAGTACGCAGCTCGAACTTCAGTTTCCGTTGTGTCTTCTTCACTTAATCCAAGCAACTTGTAGCACTCACGTATTGTTAGCTTTGATTTTTCACTAAGAAGTGTTACTGAACAATGTAGATGCCTCCTGAAGCTATTTAGTCCCCAAAAAGACTGCGACTTTCTTGTTAAAATACGCAACAAAGGTAAAGTCGTTCCTGCTGCAGTCGCCATGTTTGTTGTTATGTAACGAGCGACCGCTGATATAATTTGAGCCTTCGAGCCAAATGCACAGTAAATGCATTTTTTTGTTTATTCATATATCAAATAATTCGCTCATTCTTTCATATTTTTTATCGAAATATGTTTTCCTTGGCATTAGTATTATAGTGAACACCATATGGAAAAGTGTGCACGATTTTATGCTAAGGAACGGAATGAAGGGTGAAAGCTTACCTTGTGGGTAGCCTGTGTTTTTTTAGCTCCACCTCAGGACCTCCAGGCGCCTCCTCGTCCTTGTCTGCGTTTTCTTTTCCTGGCCTTGTTTCCCATTCAGTTTTCCCCTCCCAACTATTTTGTTTCCATTTCCTTTAAGCTTGCCTTCCCTTACCTAATCAACCGTCCTTTTCTCCGCAAAATCCCTTTCTTTAGGAGCACATAGAAGAGTAATAGAGAGTTTTAGATTTACGTTCACGGCAAACGTGAAACGTCAGTTGACCATTTAAAAATTATTTTAAAAAGCTTAAAAAGAATCGCAAAAGTCCAAGTAGTAGAAAAACAAAAGAATATTTGTCTTTGGTGAGAAGGTTTGTAAAAGGTAAAGTAAAGTACAGGAAAACGACGACAAGGTGGTCACGTTTGCCGTTTGCGGGGAGAAAAAAAGTCAATCTAAAACTCACTAATAACAAAAATATCTCACACAAACAAATCAATCAATACCACAGTAATAATTTTTATTCAATTTCTTGCCCTATTGAATTCAGCCTCGTTACCAAGTTAAACTGGTTGACCCTGGAAACGATAATAATAGCCTTCGCTCAAGTTCTTCAACACTTCGTTACACAGGGATCCCGCAAAATATTCTCACTTGAAGCCAATTTAATCATTTTAAGGTCAGAACTATACTAACAATATGGATTATTCAGACTTGGTGTTCCTCTTATTTTAAGCTTTTTTAACGATATTTTGCTGTTTATTTGTAAACGTCAGTGATTTGACGTCCACGCCCATAGTGGTCACCGGACTGAGACGCTACTTGGTCTTGGGCGGGTCCGGCTTGAGCGGAAAGTATTCCTTCACCAGCTCGGAGTTGTTCGTCGGTAAACTCTCGTGGGTTCGCTTCGGCTTCCTTGGGACCAAGCTGAGGCACGTTAAGGCCCTTTGCGTTGGACTTTAAAGAGAGAAAACCGTTTTTTATGAGCTGAGTAACAATTAAACTTAATATTTAAACATTCAAATTTTATTGATTCCCTGAAATTAAACAACCTCTGGTCTGATGTAAATCAGAGCATTGTTAACACACAGATCGAATTGGAAATTAGTGAGATTTTGAGGAGGGAGGGAAACCGGAGAACCAATGAAACAATCGATTGACTCGGGGGGGGGGGGGGGGGGGGGGGGGGGGGGTACTCCCCTATATTTGCTAACACGTGATGACGAGTCCTGAAATCAAACCCGAGACCCCAGCCAGGAGAGGTGAGAGACGAGTGTTTTACCAATATGCTACTCTTCATTCCCTCGAAGTTTACCCCTTGTTTGTCTCATTTCAGGGTACGTACACTAAGACTTACAAATTTGGGATATTTATTTTTCGAATTCGTTACGGTAAGCGTAATACACAGCCAGCCCAGTATCATGACGAGTTACTTCAATCCTAGTTCAAGAGATGACGTCACTCACCTTGCGTCCAACTGCATGGATACACGAAACCACCTGAATACAAAGAAATATAGCGGTTTGTTATTCAAGTACTGATTCGGGAACAGGGCGTATCCTGAATTTCCCTTAAAGGGGGCAACCTCTTCATTTACGCCAAGAAAGCATCTTTCCTTTCTTTTCTCACATTCCTCCCCTCCCCCAAGAACATACACTGGCACTGTTTTGGCCACCAAAACGCAAATAAATCTAAGACAACGAGTCAGATCTCTATACTGTTGCTTTTGCGTTTATGAATGAGGACCAACGGAGAGAGTTTACTTACTTGAGCCATATTCTGGTTGTCATAAAGATCGGCAGTCTGGAATAAATCTACAGCAGCGACTCCAAGCGTGTTTTCGATGAAGCTCAAGAAATTTGAAATGTTTTCCATCTGAAATCAAATCCATGAACGAAATGAATTTGTCCACAGAAGACCATTTTAATTTAAGGAAAAGGCTTTTTGTCATTATAGACCACGAACATTCCCTTGATTGTTATTCTATTCTTTCGGATTTTCAGTTCCGTCCAGAAATCACACCACAGGAAGCCCACCTACCTGCTTGAAAGGCATGCTCTGTTCATTGACTTTAAACTTGGCGCCAAGTTTGATTGCCAATCTAAGGGAACATGGAGAAAAAGACGCAAAGATACAAATATTCGGTTTAGAGTTCTCCTAAAAATTTAAATAAAATAGTCCTTCACACTCAGTCATACGAAAACTGCAATATTTGTGCTAATATCAAGTTACAGTGGTGCCAGCATTATGCTTGACAAATAGGACAAGCTAGTTTGCAAAAACGTCTTCAGATTCTTTTGAGCAAACTAAAGACAAAGTAGACGAGAGAAGTACTAGTGTCAGAAATCAAAATTATGTCTCCTTACTAACCTCGCCAGAATCTTTCCGTCTTTCAGACGTCGTTGAACATTTTCGGCTCCAGTTTCCCCGCCAAAGCATTCCTCTCCCAATACAGCCTCGATCCAGACTCTCGCCTCCTCTTCCTGCTCATCGCTGTATTTGCCAGCGATCTGGAAAAATAAATGGCTCCACACTAAATTTCTTTGAAAAGGGTACGAAAATAACTATTTGTTTCATTCAGAAAGTTGGACACGATAGCTTCAAAAAATATTTAAATGAATTTAATTTTTTTAGCAAAAGGAATGTCAACATTCAAGAGGTATTGTCTCAAAAAGAAGACTGGCATTTGACGTTTCAAAATATGTTTTACTGTTTCTCGTAACTCTTCTTTACACAATTAAAATCACCTTTTTCTATTCACTAAGAAGCGTAATACTCAAAAACAGGTTTAAATGGTAATTCACAGGAAGATTATCACGTTTTTAAGGAAAAATATCCCCAACAGATATTTTTGGAGTTGAATTCATCAAGCCATTTGTTCCTGACCTGAGAGGTTAACTTGGGTAGTGCAACATTTGTTCGAAGGTAAGGAAAATAGACAAGCATAGAAAAAAATAATAGAAAAACAGTGAATATATTCTTTAAATTTCTCTCGCAAAACGTTTGTAGAATTTCTTATTTATTGGGAATTGAATAATTGTAGTGTGAAATGTAATAAAGAATTCAGGTAGTTTTTTTATATCAGTACAGATGATATATACCTAACTGATGAACATTGTCTTAGCTTAAGATAAGTTATTTTTCTATATCTTCTAAAAGATGATTTTCTTCAAAAAATAGTAATAAAACTAATTGAGAAAAACACTTCCAAACTTCTAATTGATGCTGCGAAATTGTTTTTAATCCACCAAAAATTTCGATTGAAATTTCACGAGTTCTTTAACTAAGAAAAGGCCATTTTTTTCAATAAATGTATCATTTTAGTCTATTTTAGAATCTAACGACTAAGGATGTGGCTTACTTTGCGAGCTGCTTCGGCAGACATGCCATATCCACGAGGTCTGCTGGCCATGTTGAATAGAAAAAACTCGTGTAATTAAAATCAAGGTGAACCAAGACCAAAGTGAGGCAACAAGTGAATGACTCCTCGATACCTTTTCGTTGCACACCCTTAATCACGAGTCACGTGATCAAGATCCACCTGAAGCCACCAGAGCTGTTCTGACTGGTTGACACCTCTCACGTGACGTGTATCGATAACTTCATTGGTTTTTTGATAAACAGAGTCAATGAATCAAGGCAGTCAAAATATGTGTATGACAATGAACAGTGACTGAATACTCTTTACAGTTGTCCTGAAATGACAATTCAATGGAAAGACAGACGTTATCATCAATGAAGGTAGCAGGAGGCGTTTGCCTGGCATAAACAGGTGAACAGTCGTAGTTTGTAGCAATTTAATTCACGTTAACCTGTGCTTGTAATTGAACGTACACGCCCAGGTATTCTGGAATTGAAAATCTTACAATAAGTTTCAAATGCCTCGCGCGCTGATTGGTTATTTTTTCATCAATAAAGGGACAGACAGATAAAGCTGACGTCAACGATCGCCCGCTCTTTCTGTTGTTTTGAAAACTAAAAATGTTAATAACAAACAGATATCACATGATATTCAGTACAACTGATGAAGTACGTTTTAATAAATTCTTGTAATCTGTGAGTTAGCAATACCGAGACTTAGATCGCCCAGAGGTTGTTTCAGGGTTTGATATAAAATATGGAAATTAAAAAAAAGCTCAAAAGAACAAAAAATTGTCTGGATAGGGAGGTACTGGAGGTACGTTGCTTTAATCAGCGGCACAGAGCGCATGCGCTTTATAGACCCAGTGACCTCCTTGGGCAATCCACAGGAAGCCCGTGTAGAGATAACACAAGTTATGTAGCAATAAAATTTCACTTTTGTAGCGCAAGTTCGAACGTCATCGTCAAAACCCCAGTCACGCAATACAAACACGATTACGATTGAACTTGTTGCAGGAATTTGAGTGGGCGTTTCGATTCATTTGAAGTAACTAAGTAACGGGTCAACATGGTTCAGAGCTTCGATCGACTCTGAAAAAATTGTAACAAAACTTGGCCATTCTGATCAACAGCAGCGACTCTACCCTCCCCTCCCCCCTGTAGAAAATGTCAGGCCTTTCGGTTCAATGAATTTTCAAGAACGCAGTCCATTTCCTTGTATGGTTATGGGATATTTGATGAAGCGCTGCCTTATTTAGGTCATCAAGGTTTCTTTTATCGATGAAAATCGAAACGAGTAGAGTAGACGCTCAAGGGTCACACGTCTTTGTATGGTGAATGAGGGATGTGATAAACAGCTAAACGGCTTAGAAAACAACCGTAAGCGGTCAAGTCTCCCCCTATCGACCATCCTTTCCTCAAGCGATCATAACGTAACGAAATAAAAGGTCGAGTTTGAGAGGTACAGATGGAAAAAGTGCTTTACTTTAGGTTATCTAACGGAATTTTCGGCAAGAATAGCTTGGCAGTTCATTTGTGTTATGAGTTTACATAACAGATAACTCGAAACGCAGACTTTGAAATATATTTTTTAAGCTGATTGATTCAAACCACTGGGTGACCAGCTTAGCAAATGGAAGCCTATCGTAATTCATAGAAATGATTGGAGCAGATTGAACATGCGTTTGGAAACTCACGCTTCGTCTTACCGTACCGTGACCATGACGTTACAGCATCCAAGCATTCTGATTGGATAAGCATTAATCTCAGGCGGGCGTCGTGATTGGTTCATTGGTTGTTGTCAATACCAATGGTTACTATACGAAATGTCACAAATAAATCTGCGTTCATGACGGCAGCAGCTAATATGGAAGTCACGTGATCGGAAATGAAAAAACATCATGCTAACCTGGAAAGGTCTACAGCAATATCAATGTTCGTTACATCGCGGTCCAGAGTGACCTTCCAATCTCTTTATGACCATAGACAGACATGAATTTATCAGGTCAATGAAACCGCCGTTAGGGTGAGGTCGAGCGTTTCTGGTGAAAGAATGTTTTAGTTTATTAAACATGTTAAAGAGTTATCTGGGGAATCAATTTGATTAAACTTACACAAATAAACAGAAATTATATAAAAATAACTGGCTCCTGGAGGAGACGGACCTCAAAAGCAAACACATATAAATTTCTTAAACCTTTTGGTGGAAACGGATACAAGAGGTTTCAAAAATACCTAATAATGATTGAGTTTTTCGGCATGGTACTATAAATGCAAAGATTCAATACCCCGGCGGTGCTGTCCGAGAACTATTAAGAAAAGGGATGATAGAAGAGTCGAACGGTTCTGGCTCCTTTATATTATCTTTAAAAGAGCTGAGGCAAGAAAACAGAGAAGCGAAAGGAAAAAAAACGGAAAGAATTGTCAGAGTATTTGGGGTGATCCCAATTTTCATAGTGAATTGAGTTCAATTAGTCTTTATATTGGAAGACATCTTAGAAGGAACTTGCACCAAGTACAATAGTCAATCATGCAGCATCGCTACTTTAACCTGCAAAATTCCTGCACTGTGATGTTTCAATCGAATATACTTATGAGATACAATAGGATGACTGCTGTCTTTAATAGAAAGTACGTATTAATATAAACTGAGGCCTCAAGGCTCTCCAGGCTGACGACCCTATGATCAGTTCTCAACCACGTCCCTTTTCAGTGGCGGTTTCACGCTGAGAGAGGGCTAGTGAAGTAGCATACGTAATGAATATGCGGCTGAAAATCTTGAACAGAACGAATCCAAAGCCTTATATGGCCAAAGGAGTGACCCTGGATTTTCACCGCGACACTCATCACCCATAAAACACAACACAGACTTGATAAAAAATCTTGGATAAAAGTACTTCAAAGCACCCGACATTGTTGAAGACGTTGAGATCACCTCAGCAAAGCTGGCAATTGATGTTGTTTGTTTTATTTCTGCTGGGCTGGGGCTCCAAATTCTAGCAACTTTCTGGAATGAAGGAACAATGAGTTTCAAATGTCCTGTCACGCTTTTGAAATGTAAGGAATGAACGAGATGCCTCAGTAAAATAAGGACTCGCCTAAAGACCCTACGTCACTTGTAATCCACGCTCTTGCCGTTCTAACTCCAAGCTATTCTATCTAACCTTGATTTTCTGAAAAATGGCTGCAAGACCTAGAGGATATGGCTTTTCTGCTGAAGCAAAGAGAAAGGTGAGTTGAATTAGAATCATGCTTGCTCAAAATAGTTGTAGTTTTTTGATACTTTTTCAAGTCAAAGACCCAGCTGTAATAGGCGGTCGAAAACTATGGATAACAACTCGGTTGAGGGTGTTGTCTCACCGGACTCGAAATTATGAACTAGTTGTCAAAAGGGAACTTTTTAGAACCTAATTTTTATAGTCCATATACATTTTCAGCTCTAAAAAACAGATTTTTGGCATCAAAATCCTGTTTTACAGTCGTATTGATTTCAGCATTTCTTAGATAGTTTTAGCGGGAAAACTTTACCCATGTAGCAAAAGTAACAAAAACTTCGTATTCTTGTCAAGTCAATTACCATTATAAATGAAACGGTGTCTTTGCCGCTTATTTTCAAGCCAAAATCGTAAGTAGGAAACTGAAAATGTCTCAAAGAAAGACCATATGGTAAAAATTATTTATTGCTGAAGAGTCAAATGCTCAAATCAAGAAACCATCTTAAGACTTGGGCAGCTAAAGTTACATTGTAACACAATCCATTCTTTCACGCGAGCCAAACTTAAACTGAATTTTATAGTTTTCAAAATAATTTTGTACTTCTTTTCTGAACTTTGGAGCTAAAAAGATTTCTGCTTGTTTTGTACTAAAAAAAGTGATTTAAATTCATATTTTTCGTTTAAAATAATTGGTTAGCTTTGAATTTTTAAGCGAACTAAAAACGAGTGCAAAAGGGCACTGTTTCCGTCAGTTCTGTTTTGTTTTTTACTGTTTTTCTATTTGTGTATCTTTTATTTATTTTCCCTCTTTGTTTTGATTTGTTTCTTTATTTCGTTATTTTATAGCATTTTATTGGTTTTATATGTGGAGTTTTACACTTAGCTTCATCCATTAACCCGGTTGAAAATTTTTTTTTTTTAATCAATATTTTTTCTCTTCGTTCACTCCAAGAACAAGTCATAATAGCTCATCGAGAGAGATCACTTTTGATGTAGTTTAAAATTCTTTGGAATCAATGGACCTGTTATTATTGATTGAACGAGTATTTTTATCCCTCTTTAGAGGACGATCAATTGATTTTGACTTGACATCATATCTTTTTCGTACATGCCAAGATGATTATTCGATAAGTATAACTCGAATAACCACAGAATCACCTCTTTCTGGTAGTCATTCGTCTAGAAAAAATTCAATAGGGAGAAAACACTTCTAAGAGTTCCTAAAGCTCCTAAAATGATATTGAGAGGAGTTTTTCAAGTTGTTACTTTGAAACAATAGTACGAGTTGACGATATTTGGGGAACAGACTAGACATTTTCGCAAAAGTTCAATTGGCACTATGGAATTTTGACACTATGGCTTTCAGATAATCTGTTTGGTAAAACTAAAACAAAGTGCGTCTAAAACACACAAATCTTACTTAAAACGTCCTCGTTTGAAACTCCTCAATTGGCGCCTAATATCTGTTTATTAAAATGAAAAATTCTTGGGGATTTTTAAAAGGGTTTCTTTAAGATTTCGATGATGTTGTTGTAAAGACTTGACAGCATTTCAAGTCTGTCATTGATGCTTTTGATCACTTGACTCGAATGTTTTTATCTGTTGCACGTAACTATAGAAACAGCTGACCCCATCAGAATTAAGGGTCTTACGCCGGATTCGTATGTCTATTAATGATTGCTCAAAATATGGTGGCCGGGGAATGTGGTGAAAATTCAGTGGACACCCATGCACTCCCCCCTCCCCCCAGTTCTTTTTGCTCAATGGCTCAACCATGGAAACAAAATGTTATTACTGGGTTGCCTGTGAAAATATTATATGGCCAGCAGTTCCATTTTTTCTCAGAGATTTTCCTCTGCTAGATTTCAATTTGACGGATTTGGGTAGAAAGGAATAGGTTACTCAAAAATAGAAAAGTTTCACTATTCTATATTATATTATTTTAAAAATCAAAAAAGAAAAACGGGGAAAAAAGGAACAAAAGCGTGAGTAAGTATGATGTTTAGGTCACCCATCCAAGTGCTAGCCCTCCGCAGACGAGCTTGACTCAGTATCTTAAACAACAACGATTTATCCACTGGACCACGGTTCCAGGTAAATCAGCATCACAATAGCCGTGAAAACAATGCACCGAATAGACTAGACTTTTTGACATTTTACTTTCAACCGATTCCGTGCGTGGCAGAGATGCAAGGGATTAGCCGATATGGTTTGGGGGCAGGCTTGTCTCTCCCCTGATGCTTCGGCTAGAACATTTTCTTGCGTAATTCGTACACCCAAGGACAGAAGGATTTAATCGCCGTCAGGTCCGAAGTCCATACGACGCCTCAGCTCTGCGGATGTCTCGGGGGTATGGCAAAAGGGAGTCGATTTTTTTGAATTTCTTTTGGTGGGTTCGAATCCCATCTTATCCATATAAGATTTTTTCCTTTTTTTTTTTTTTTTTTGAATCCAATTTTTATTAGATTTAAATCTTCAACAATAAACTAATGTAATCTTCTTAGTGAAAAAAGATTTATTCCTAGTCGGTTTCTTATAAGTCTAAATAAGTGCGATCAGACGTTATCAGTCATATAAGCAATATATCGATCCGCGAAAAACAGAGCTATGCCGTCCTATTTTTCCTGGCAAAGTTTGCTGACAAGAACGTTTACTGCACTTGGATCTCTATATCATATGCCCGCAAAGGACTCTTGGGTAGTGTCGTGAAGACTTCTGGGTACTGTTGTGCAATTTCTGCATTTTCTGACCAGGAAAATAAACAGCTACCCCAGTAAATAACATAATAACAAAGGATGATAAAAACATTTAAAAAAATTGCTGGGAATTCAGACTGAGAACATTGGAGTGTTTGATCTTGTTGCGTCATGGTGCAAGATCGAAGTCACAAGTAGTGTGACATGCATAACTCAAAACTGTTTTTTTATAGCCTAAAAAAGGGCAGAACCCGCAATTATTTCAATATGTAGAGAACACCTTAAGGGAGAATATCGTCCTAGACGATTTAAAGGAAATCTTTTTTTTTTCTTCTGTGAAACATTCCATTATCTGTTGGCCAACATTGCAAGCTTCTTCAGCTATACTAGGCCTCTGTGCATGATACAGGCAACCCAGTTGACGCCTATCGTTACTAGTAAATTTGACCCCATCTATAAAGTAGGGCCTAGTTTGGCACGAGCATGTAATATGGCTCAAAATCTTACATCAAACGTTATACAGCATTAAAAAAATGCAGTTTTAGAGAACTGTAAAACTGGCTACTTCTTTCCTCGCTATTCATTCATTTGCTCTGCGATTTTGGCCTGTAACCTAGGTAACCGGGTAAGAGGGAGACTGGAAATGAAAATTTATGAACTGCACTCACAAAGACTCTTCTGTGTCCTTCAGATCGAAGCCAAGTACGATACCGAACAAGAAGAGAAGGCACGAGAATGGATTGAGGCTGTTCTGGCCGAGAAAGTCTTCGAAGGGAAGGAAGGAATTGACGGTGTACATGAAATCCTGAGAAGCGGAGCTGTACTATTAAGGTATATATTTTAGTTACTGATGTTTTGATGGCCATATATATATTTCACTTCTTTCACTTGACATAACCACTGCACTGGCTATACAAAGTTTTCTATTGACACGGGACCATTTTTTCCCTGTTATTTTTGCATGTCATCTATCAGCATCAACAACTGGATTGCTTCAGAGCTCTGTATTGGGACCACCAACAGTAATGTTATTCTTCTTCTTATCACTTTATTTTTTATATACGTACCTTTGGGGTTCCTCAAGGTTCAGTACTGGGACCTTTTTCTGATGTTCCATGAGCATTACGTAGTGGAATTGTTGAAGACTCTGCAAAATAAGAGGTCCACTACTGATTATGTCATTCCTGTCATTCCACGCGGCTATAACGTCGCTTTCATTTCAATGAGAATGAAAACCCTTATTTTGATCTGAAAATTGTTCTGAAGCACTCCAAAGGGAATCTACCGAGTGTACATATCTTTCTGTCAAATCCCTATATCCATTTGCCGAGAAGGAAAAGCAAATTTGTCTAAGTTTTATTTCGGGGTTAAGTTCCTAAAGCTCTCAAGTTGATCTGGAAAAGAAATGTTAGCCAATCAGAATCGATAAAAATTTTCAAATCTGATGACACTTTTCCTCTTTAAGGAATGGATTTCCAGGCCATAAAATGTGTAAAAAAAAAAAAAAAAAAACCGTTGCTAATAAGCTCTTGCTAATTAATGAATTGAATATACATTTTGCATTGGCGGGCATGTAGGTGTTATTCTTTCGCTAGTCGATTTTTTCAAGTGAGCTTCATGACATCTCAGTTTTGCAGTGGTGTCATTTTTGCGTCACTATTCATTTTATATCGAGGTTTTATCTAAGCATCTTAATGCTTTTACTATTTCAGGGTAGCCAACAAACTTGGCGCTAACATAAAAATCAATGAATCGAAATTGGCGTTCAAGCAGGTGAGAGATTTCAATCCGTTTTCATGGTGACTAGACGGGGGTTCGGGGGGACTGGGTTAGCTTAGTCTGCCGAGTGTCAAGGAAAAGGCCAAGACTTTTATTATTCTTGAAACAATAGATTAATCACGCAAGGTATCGTTACTATTCTTATCTCAGATGGAAAACATTGGAAATTTTCTTAAATTTATGGAATCATATGGATGTGCAAGAAGCGACTTATTCCAAACTGTGGACCTCTACGAGAAGCAGAATATGCCAAGTGTAAGTCAGTCAATAGACCTTATTCAATTGGTGCAATGTTTTCCCATATCAGACCAAGTGTCATTCTCTTGAGCATAGCATTATTTGTTTGAGTTGTAATAGACCTATCTAGCTTTGGTGTAATGTTTTCCCATTTCAGACCACGTGTCATTCTCTTGGGAATAAGATTCTTTGTTTGAGTTATATCCATATTCATGGTGTCTTCTCAAAGTAATGTTACATTACGCCAAAGCTAAATAGGTATATTAATGGTATTGGTTGACCCTTTATAGGTAATCGATGGTATCCACGCATTAGGCCGCAAGGTAAGTCAACTATTAGATACTTTTTTGAGACCTCGTTTCTATCAACTAAGTTTCAGGTCCATACCGAACGTCATGGATCGAATTGGATTTGCCAATAAAATTTGCTCGCGAAGTTAAATTCCCACCCCTCCCCTCCCCCACAATACATCCTTGATACAAAACAAACCGCCACGGAAAAAGGTGTCCACAGACACCCCATGTGGGATCCCCTTGATACGCCCCTGTTCTCCTTATTCTTTTGTTCAAAGCTTTTTTCTATGTGGCTGGGAGATATCGTAGACTTTTCTTTTACATGTGGTAAGATTGTATTCTTATGATATTCCTATTTGTTTTGTTTTGTATTTTAGGCCGCTCTTAAGGACCCAAATCTTCCCCAACTTGGACCTAAAGAAGCGGAAGCGAACCCACGTAGTTTCTCAGAAGAACAAATGCGAGGAAGACAAGCAATCCACATGCCCTGACGTCGATAGCTAGCCCCTCTAGACCTTTATCTTAATTAGCCATTCCGAAGATTGAGGGAAGAACTGGTTTGCGAGATGGTTTCCAAGATGCTGTCTAATTTGTCCCATAAAACAGCCCTAAAACGCACTGCAACACCAACTCGACCCAGTGTTTCCCCCAACCTCGAAATGGCTAATTTGTTTACTTAACTTCTTAAGAAAAATCCCTCGTCCCTCTTCCCTTTTTTATCGCGATAAGAAACAGCCGAGCTAGGACTGGACACGAGGAAGGCCTGGATTTGGTGACGTGGATCGTGACTCTCGAAAGTCTTGCGTGACAAGKTGAAAACCCGAGAAAGACTCTATGTGCATTGTGAAGTATAGTACCCAAAACTTGATCGATGATATTGGCGTGAAGTTCTAAACATGGCGTACATAGGGTACTATAAATAAGCCGAATGAGAAAATCGTTTGCAATATCGCATGCGACAATTGAGTCGATTGGAATATGATACGGTAAATCAATTGCGCAACAGTAGTAATTGTAAAGTCTGACGTCTTTATTTTTGGATGTCAAACGATAAAAAAGAAAAGAGGGACGATTCTTCACCGCCGCTGATTCACAACATAGGAATTAGTTACAAGATAAATCGTGAATGATTTTTTATGTAGATTGGTGGCTTAAATAAAATAAACTATTCTGATTTCCAAAGGCTGTATTGATAATTCTCGAGCTCAGTCACGGAAATGTCTGACTCTATCCTTCCCTCCCCTCCCCTCCCCTCCCATCCCCTCCCATCCTCTCCCCTCGTAATTACTCAGATGGTAAAGTAAAAAGGCAAAATAGTAACACTTACAACAATGGGTAAAATACAAGTTCAGCAATAAGAACAAAGTGATTGCCACAGTTACGTTAAAATACATATGAAACCGAAGTTGATTTACGTTGGTCACTAAAAGACTCGCGAAAAACAACAACATTGCAAAAAGTCCTAGACTCTTTGTTCTATTTTCATCACTTGTAGAAGAACACAAATATCTTCCTTTCTTTTGTGATTTTAGTTGTAAGCGTTGTCTCCTGCAACCTGCCTTGGACGCCCAAAATGATCTCCAGCTTGGCTAGCTCCCTTGTTCGTACCCATCTGAAGACCGATCACATTTTGTCCAGCCTTAAGTTGCTCTTTAGTGAATTCTCGTTTGTTTGCAGTGGCTTCCTTGGGTCCAAGTTGATGTGAGGTCTTACCTGTGCTGTATGCCTATGAAAAGATATTGGTGCAAGTGGTTAGAAAATAGGTGATAAYCGTTAATAATAGACAGAGAAAAATAGCCTGCGTTGCTCGGCGGTCTGCGGTGTTGCAGAGAAGAGAGGGGAGATCCTTCTTCGTAACTCCTTAGACCGCCAAGCAGCCCATAAGAAATAAAAAAATCATACCTTTCTTCCCAAAGCATGAATTCCATCAATGACCTAACAAGGAAAAATGAGGTAAAAAAATTAAAGAAACTTGGACCAAACAGACTTTTTTCCATAAATATATAATGGCTCTTCGTATGCCAAGAACAACTACTAACAAGTACTTACACTAGGCATGTTCTGTTTTTCATACAGATCAACCGTCTGGAACTTATCACTTTGAGCCACTCCAATACTATCGGCAAAGTCAAGAAAATTACCAATGTTTCCATCTAAAAAGTATTGAAAATAAGAGCTACAAAGTAAGGCATATTTCCAGATCAGGAGCACATTTATATGTAATATTTTTGAGGTCTTATTTATATTATCGTGAAGCTCAATGTTTTTGGAAGATAAGAGGGGCCGTTCATTTTTTTGGTGGTGGGGGGGAGGGGGGAGGGGGAGATTTCCTTGGTAACCCATACCGAAAATCTGACCGCCCACTCCATTATTCCTTAAGAAACATCCCCTCCCTCGTTTTCCCTTCTTATCTTTCTCCTTGCTTTGTATTTTTCTCTCTTGATATTGTTGATATGTTTCTTCATTCTTCCCAAGAATTTATATATTTCGAGATGGTTGGAATTGCTTGCTTGATTCAAGGTTAGGGATAATAATTCTTTTGTTCTTGTGTTTTGGACCGTTTCTTCTTTTTCACGCTGCTACAATTCTAACAAGGTTCGGTTCTTGTTATATATATAAATTTAGCACTCTACTAACTGGGGAAGTTCATAACAAGAATCATACCATTTTGAAAGCCATCTTGCTTTGATTGATCTTGTATTTGCCACCAAGGGCGTTGGCAAGTCTGAGAAAGTAAGATTAAGGAATTACCTAATTTATATGGTAAAATTACACATTTATTTTTTTGTTCCTGACCACTCAACCAGAATATCGAAAATTGGCTACTGTGTTGTTTCCCATAATTCTCCGCGGGTAGTTCTCAGTACCAATCTTTCCATACATACCTAACAAGTATCACACCATCCTTCAAGACAGCATGCACTTCATTTGAGCTGCTGCCATACCCATTAAACACCTCTTCCTCTAGCACAGCCTCGATCCAGGCCATGGCCTCGGAAGCTCGACCAGAATCATAGCTCGCCTCTTTCTGTCGAGTACGTAAAAATAGTATACACTTAGGTCTTTTTGTCGTTCTGTATTTTTTCAAGGGAAGCAGACCCTAGCGCATGTGCAATGGACCAGATACAGTATCACTAAACTAACGTATACCGCCTGCCGTGGGAGAAATAAACATCCCTGAATATTAATTCAATTTTTTGTTGTTTACATAATTCTAAACATAAACCAAAATATATTATTATCAAAATTTTAATAAATAATTAACCTTTACATTTTCATTGCACAAAACGTTAGTTTCCCGTCGTGAACTTTAACGTTTATGAGCAAAATGACAAACTTTACTAACTTATCCAAATTTGTATACTTCCATAAAGGTTTCCAATTCTCAGACTGAAATTATGTTTTTCAGCTGCCTTGGTTCAGTGAGTTAGATACAGTGCATGGTACATGTTAGTATGATTAAAAGAACACCTTTCGGACTATGATAAATTGCCCTGTGTCGTTTTACTGTACTTGCCTGTTTAGCGAAGGATGTCCGCTTAATAAGGTGTTCGCTTAATACAGTGACCACTGTATTCAAGGCAATGTTTCTAAACTTAGAGGCACACACACAGACAGAACGAGAACACGAAAATTATATATATCTTGCTTCATATCAGTAATTTAAAGAAAGTGAGCCGAGGATACACTTCGTAAAATCGAAAGAGAAGAGAAAAGAAAGAAAGCAAGATAAGAATTTTGGAAGCTAATCTACACTTATTCGAAAGCCACTAATTTTAGATTAATTAGTCGAGTTGCGAAGAAATTTGGTTGAATTAAAGTCAATGCAATTGGTTGTTTAAATCTTACCTTTCTGTGCAGTTCTGCACTCATACCATAACCTTTTGGACGGGAAGCCATATTAAAGCCGGGGGTGATGAGTAAAAAGATGGCAGAAGATGATGCAGATGGTTTGGTTCAAGTGATGAATGATGTATGTAACAACACAACAATATAAATGTATACACCCCACCAAGACGTTTCATCGAGGTAACAGTTACAATTCTAAATATGGTACACCATAGGATGACATATTCATTTCAATTTCGCAATTCACTGCTTTCCTGCCATTCATGCGGCACAGAATACTCATTTAAAAACATTTAGTCATTTTCGGCCGTTTTTTGTGTTTCGTTTTGTTTGCTAAGTGCCGTCAAACAGAAAGCTCAATGCACAAGAAATCACCAACCCTAGGCCTATTTTCGGAGACTTTTACAAAAAAGTTCAGAAATTGGATTGATAGTAATTGCTTTATTGCTTACTATCAATCACGTGACTTTTTTGGAATTGACTGGGGGGCAAACAAGCGGTTGACTGAAAGGCAAATAGCGGATGTCGAGTCAAAACATGTCAAAATAAGTCGTCAAACTATCATTGTATTTGACGATTTCTACGAAATCAAAACAACCTCCAAGATTCTACAAACCATTAAAAACGAAGCTATTACCGGAAGTGACGTCTATTGATAGTGACCTTTAATGAATCTGTTTTCATTCAGAATGTTAGAGAGTTTGGGTGCCGTTGCATATGAAAAAAAGGAGCGCTGCCTGAACTGATATATCTTAATGAACCTGACATACCAGTCATAGTCCCAGACATCCCAGTTGCTGTCTATTCCTTTAAAGGAATAACATCATTCATCCTCAATCACTGGTATTCATAGGGGTTTTTTATTGGTCGTCGTTTTGCTTGTGCCTCCCGCTGTGCTTTTTTTTCTCTTTTCCACGCAGGGAGCCGTCGCGTAAAATTGATTTTGTATTTTGTCAAATTCCTCGGATACTTCAAGTAACTGAGCCGTATTTCCAAATTGGTAGTTCCACAATCATCGGAAAACAACAGGAAGCTAATCACTTGTTGAGACCGGCAAACACGTCAAGTATTTTTTATACAACTATGATCCGTGAGGTTAGCTGTAAGCACCATCTTTCGAGAAGTTTCTACACTCATTTAATTAAATTTTGATCAACAATACTTTTCGCATTTACCGGGCTGACTTGTATCTCGAGTTCATACGAGATTATTACTATATTTTCAATTTCTGCAGTTTTTTTGTGAATTTCCTAGAGATGTCATTTTATAAAGGGTAAAAGTCATCACTTATCGCCGGATTGTTTTCGAAAATTTTGGCGGGAAATGAAGAAACGTATCTGTTCAACGCCCGCGCGCGCGTTGCTCATGCTCAACTGTTCCCGCCAAAACAAAGATGAATCAAAGTGACGCGCCTCAGTCGAAGATAGAGAAAAAAATCGAGGTAAAAACTCTTCAAAATTACTATAATATGGACGATCATATTATTCAAATCACAATCATTTAAAGAACATAAATATATTAGATTGTTGTCTTACTAAGAGACGATTTCCTTTCTGTTTTTGGGCGCTCGCCGTCGAAAAAAAGTCGAGCAGAAGTTAGGTGATTCTCGACCTTTTTAAAATAGATATAAGAAATTAAAATTAACTGGATATAAGAAATTAAAGTTAAAGTGAGTATATTTTCATAAAACACTGACAGCTACTAGACTACGATTCCGAAAAAATAGCCTTTGAATGAAAAAACTTGTCATGCGAGAAACTTGCCCAATCGAGAAAAGAAAAGAAAAAGTTTAAAATAAAACAAGCTGCTATTTACTTGACAAGATTCGTAAAACCTGTTCTCATTTTGGAAAGAAGAGGTAAAAAAAGTAAAAACCATCTGAGTGTGCAACTTTGCAAAAATTAAAGCTTTAAACTTAGCTTTAAAAATGGAAAGAATATCGTTCAAAGTTTTACAGAGAAACCCACATAGCCGCCGTGAATGAAACAAAACAAGGCGGATATAAAGACAGGTATTTACTTACTTTTTAAGAAGTCCTGTAGCTGAAAAGAGTGATTTGGAGCGAAGGAAAAACACGATTTTCGAAACCAGGAAACTTGCAGTACAGTATGATCACACTTTACAATAACTAGTGACCAATCAGAGCGCGTTACATTGTCAGAACTTACAAATTTATTGATAGAATGTCGCTGCAGCATAGCCTTAGCCAATCAGAGTGCACATCAGTATTGTTTTCACACTAGCAAAAAACCCCGATATTATAGACCACAGCTACAATATTTATTGGCGAAAAAATTGTTTACATATGCAGGGTACAGAAAAATATTTCATAAAATGTCTAGTCACATGTCAAATAAAAAATCCATAAGTCATAATGACTTATATTTTGTATATAATTGATGTTAAGCTTAATCACCTCATTTTTATCAAAACGTAATAAAACAGACGAATCAGTTAATCTAAAGGCAAGCTTGACTCTTCATACTTGCTGCAGGAGAATTTTTTATATTCTCTGATGTGTTTATTTGTAAACGTTGGCCCCTGCAACCTGCCTTGGACGCCCAAAATGATCTCCAGCTTGGCTAGCTCCCTTGTTCGTACCCATCTGAAGACCGATGACATTTTGTCCAGACTTAAGTTGCTCTTCAGTGAATTCTCGTTTGTTTGCAGATGCTTCCTTGGGTCCAAGTGGATGTGGGGTCTTACCTGTGCTGTGGGCCTATGAAAAAAATTGGTGGAAGTAGTAAGAAAATGGTGAATACATTAATAATAGACAGAGGAAAAAATTGCTTGCGTTGATCGGTGGTCTACAGTGTTGAAAAGAAGAGAGGGGAACCGTGTTCAAAAAACGATTAGCACATGCAGTTGTTTTGACTAATGGGTGGATGGGAGAGAGGGATGGACAGACGGATTTATGGATATAGCTGTCTTTACTAATAGATAGATGGATGGGTGGGTGGGTTGGTCAATGAATTAAAGGGTGGGTGCACTGGTGAATGGGATGGATGGATGGATGGATAATTGGATGTATGGGTTGGGATGAAATGGAAGGATGGGTCAATGAGTTAGTGGTTGAGTGGTAGAAGGAAGGGAGGTTTGAAAGAAGACAAATTGAAGTGTAAAAAATACCTTTCTTCCCAAAGCATGAATTCCATTGATGACCTATTGAAAAGTAAAAAAAAGTCAGAAAAATTCTTGGTTGCTTAAGTTTAGCCTTGAATTCGTATGGAATTATTTCAAATATTCCTGCATTTCCATGAAGATCCATGAATTTCAAACTTCATAAAATGCAGTTAGGTATGAATACATCAAGTACAGTTAAGTATGAATACATCAAGTTTAAAGGGGCACTTGGTTGAAAATCGAGGAAAATTGGAAATGACTTTAAATTTGGGTAAACCTATCTATATGGCCCCAATAGTAGCCAAGCAACATATTTCTTGACAGTCAAAAGTGGGGGATGAAAATCGTCAGTTTTATTCAGCATCTAAATTGTGAGTAAATGACGTCATTTACTCAACCCTATTGTTCTATTCGCTTTTAACCCAAAATTTCTCAATAGCAAGTGGCTCCCAGGCTAAAATTTTCACTAATCTGGTTTTCATAGTCGTAATTGAGTCATATTATCCTCAAATACTTTAGTTATTTGGACTTTCAAAAATTGGGGCGTTTTCATCCAAGTGCCCCTTTAACCTCAACTCAGAGTTTCATAGTCATTCAAGGGAATTTTGTAAAGGTTTTTTCAAAAGAAGTGATCATTATCAGCTAAAAGCTTACTATAAAATCTTTTTAACAATGTTGAGTATGATAAATACTTACACCAGGCATATTTTGTTTCTCGTACAGATCAACTGTCTGGAACATATCTGATTTAGGCACTCCAAGTTTATCAGCAAAATCAAGAAACTTTCCAATGTTTTCCATCTAGAAAGCATAAAAAAGGACCACAAGGTAAGTCCTAATTAATTATTACTTATTTATAATTATCTAATTTAATGATGGTAATTGAACTGAGAGGAGTGCAATTTGCACCAAAATCATACGAGTGATTACAAAATCGCAGGACTGTGTAGCAGGAGTGCAATTTGTTAATCACAAGTATGATTTTGATCCAAAATTGCATGACACAAAGTTCAATTACCACTTAATCATATCCTTTTTGTAATCATACACATGACTACATGAAAAATACAATTTTTTTGCTTTTTTGCAAAAAGTGTGAAAATGTCCCAATACATAAAGAAAAACACTTTGCAAATGCGTTGAAAAGGCTTGTTTTATTCTCTTCTCTGATTAGCCGAATATAAGAATTCTGTTCTGTGATTGGTTCTTTCAAAAAGATGCAATTAAGAGCTCAAAAGGATGCGATTTGGGAATTAATCGCACTCCTTTGAACCAATCAGATTGCAGGATTTGATAGTGATTACAAAAAGGATATGATCATTAATTGTTATTTGTGGTGATGGAATTATAGTGAAATTAAACTTCACATTGTAATAATCTTTGATCTGACAAAAAGAAAATTATGTAAGAAGGAAATAATTGTAAAGGTACGTCACCATCTCTAAAGCATGAGTACATTCAAAGGTAAACCATTTTAGGGGTATTTCAGTTGTCCTTAAAAAGGACTGGTTGTTTTTTTTAAATTCCACGAAAGATGTTGAATTTGTCTAAATTGTCTAATGAAGGACTAACGTATGCAACATCAATACAATTTGAAACTTTTTGTACATGTTTTCTTTCTTTTTATATTCATTTGTTGTATTGAAAACACCAACACAGTCCCAACTAGTAACCACTAGTCATCCTTATTAACTTGTTGCATTCAACACACCAGCACAGTCCCAACTAGTAACTGTTAGTTATCATCATTTTATTGATGTTTAGTACACTAAACATACCATTTTAAAGGCCATCTTGCTTTGATTGAATTTAATACTTCCACCAAGGGCATTTGCAACTCTATGGGGAAAAAAGAAAGATGTAAGTCCCTCCAAAAAATAGTAGTAGTAGCTCATCCAATTAGAATGCAGTAGTGGACAACTAGTAGACCACTAGTAGTGAAAAGTCCCAGTTTTGACTTATAACGATCAATATGAGGACAAGAGGTCTAATTGTTAAGCAATGTAATAATTGTCATGATAGAGTGAAAGCATTTAACCCATGAAATAAAAATTATTAGTCAATGCATAATAGTCAAATAGACACAAAAGAAATTAATGCATTTAGGGTCTACTAATGTGTATAATTAGTATAATATCTATTTCACGGGTTTAATGACCTCACTCTACAACTCTTACCTGCAGAGTATAATACCATCTTTCAAGGCTGCATGTACTCCATCTTGACCTGAGGCACCACCCAATGCTTTCTCACCCAAAACAGCTTCAATCCAATCAATAGCCTGTCTTTCTAACTCTGGATCATACTTAGCATCTTTCTGTGGAAAAATGTTTGGAAAATGTTTTAATGCTACTTTTCAATACTACTGATATAAAATATTGCAAATCAGAAATGAGCCAGAAGTCCATTAATATTTGGCAGTATTTACCATCTCTTCCCATAAGGCACTGCAGCCTAGGTGTATGAACTTTTTGGATGAGTCGGGAAGGGGTTTAAATGGATTTTGGGCAGGTGGGCAGGTGCAGCAATTACTTTTTGTAAACAAACTTTTTGGGGTGGGGAGCGAGGGGGGTGAGAATGGGGCATATGTGTGGTAAGTGGGTTAGCAAATTAACACTAAGTTGTAGTAAAGGGAGAGCAATTATTGCATATTTCATTCCCTAATACACAATGACAAATTATCTCATATTTGATAATGCCACATGTGAAACCCAAAAAAATTTAGTAAGTCCTATGGTAAGCTTTATCAAGTAAATACGGTATACATATCAATATATGTACTAAAAGTGGGAACAAAGGCTTGACAATTTAGTGGACATCTGCAAAATGTATTAGGGCTATAGCCATCAAGCCACTCTCTCTCCAGTATCCCAGAATAACAAAGGACAGTTGTACAGTGACATAAGAAACATGAATGATGAAGAAACATTGAATCTAATTTTCTTATTTGCTTTGCTCCTTACGCATTAAGAATAATCATAAAACAGGATAACAAAAATTTCGGTGTGGTGTGTGATAGCGTCAAAATTAGCTGCATGATTCGTTATTATGTCCTTAAATAAGCTGCATGATGTGTGTTCCTATATTGCGACATATTTATGTGTGATGCATATGTCTATAAATTTCAGTGACATGTGATTTCATTTAAAAAGTTTTGTCACCCTGATAAAACATTGATGGTCCTTTGACTTCCGTATCAAGAATTTATAAAATTTGTAAATTTTGCACAGTTGCATGTGGGTCTATGTAAAGTAAAAGCAATGATGGTTTTGTTTAACCTTTATGTTAATAATAATAGCATTTCTTCAAAAGAAATTTACTCAGGAGGTAGGGGATCGATTGCTTATTACATAGTTTATTACAAATGCAATACAAGTGACTTTAAATTTGAACTACATTTTCTAAATGATAATGAAGAAGGGGGTGCATTTTTTATTGAAAGATATCAGAGGGGGTAACAAATTTTTTCAACAAATTCCCTCCCCCACCCCTCTACCCCCCACAACATAAGAACCAATCGGTCCCTAAGAAAAAGGCGATACTAATTTGCTGTAAGGAGGAGATGGGACGGTAGGGCAGTATGTTGCTGTGCTGGAAAGCTGTATCATTCTGTTAGATCTTAAACCAGATGTGAGACGTCTGGGCTCATCATGAATAGATTAGAACTTTTAGAAGCTGGCTTTGATCTTCTAGAATGCTCTTTATCTTGAACCGCCACGTGAATTCAGCAGAACATTCTAGAATAGGAAACTGATCACGCTTCAATAACCGTTGATATAGTCACGCCCATTAAAATATGACTGCTATGTGGTCATGTAATAGTGTTCGTTTCGGATTTGTTGGCATTTTAAAAATGTTTTGAACAATAGGTAAAATTTCAATGAATAATAGAATGCTTTATCGTTTTATTACAAAATATGGTTCCAATATTGCCGGATAAGGTTATGAGTCAATCCAGACAGTAGCCAGATATATTTCCGTGACGTGAAACTGGCAGTCATTCAATTTCTTGAAAACACTATACTACCAAGACGACTGTGGCATTTGAAGAGTATTTCAATTAATATCTTTTTTGAAAAGTGCGCTTCAAGATTTATTACTTAAAAGAAAAGTGAATGAGTTTGGGTTTTGGGTGAAAAGTTTTCCTCTAGGAAATTTTAGTAAATGAATTACATGAAGTTGGCTTTCCCTTTAGTCACTTTACCTCCCGGAGTATTGCATGCGGAGATGTAAATAAACTAAAAGTTATTGAAATTCTTTGTGGAATTAAAAAATCCAAAAATATCAATCCACATGAGTCAATAGGAAAAAATATAAAGCGCAAAAGAGTTTAGTAAGCGTAGACAATGAAACTGAAAGCACTAGTTGCTCATGGCATCATCATAAAATTATGAAATTGCATGTCAGACGCCTTGAATAATCATCTCAATGTATTTGTCAACCATGCTTCTTTAAATATTCATTATTTTGCAAATTTTTAAAACTGTTATTCTCAAGAAAGAATTAAAAGATGTTTCAAATGACTTATATTCAAAATCATTTCTTATATATGTATTTGTAATGAAGTTACTTTTACAGTTTCAAACTATTTAATACTTAATTTCTATTTTAGTTTCGAGAGTCAAGAAGAGTTGAACAATAATATCACATTAAAGTCGATAGTGTTCGTGGCAGATTATATAAAGTCTTCCCTCCAATCACTGCTTTGACAAAAATTTGCTAACTCTTGAACGCTAATAATGATGACCTTTCAAATTATTAGGAAAGACTTTCCAACAGAGCTTGTTTAGTCTTTTTATTCATTGCACATTTGAATAACAGGTAACTACGTAGAATATTAGTTATTTTCTCCGTGAAGCGAGAAGAAAATGACTCGGACAGACGGACGTTTTAATGAATTAAGAAATAGTATGAAGAACAATAAAATGTTCCTTAAAATTGAGATACTATAAAACTTAACACTCGGAGCACTCTACTTATATACTAACTTCAAAACAAACAAACAACGCCTCGTCAGAAGAAGAATTCTTCCAAAATTGTACATTTTAATTAGCCCCAAAACTTGTCGAGTCCGAGGGAAGATTTTAAAGAACCTAAAGAATTTCAACAGCTTGTAAATAACAAGTCAACTAGGACCTTGAACTCTCGTCGTCGCTAAATGCATGATACGTAGACACACACGAACAGCACTGCTATATATTGCTAAGTATTCCTTACCTTTCTCTGCAATTCTGCAGTCATGCCGAAACCCTTTGGACGAGAAGCCATGATAAAATGATCTAATAGTACCAAGAAACAAAGCTTGTGGTGAAGATGGTAAGGTTCAATTGAAGAATGAATCAGCACGCAAGGATGAAAATATATATATATATATCCCGTCGACACTCGTGTGGATAAATTATGCAGCTACACCCCTTAAAGACGTCCGTCAACGCGTGGCGTGACACGGTGACGTAACGTCTTATGAATAACTATTTTTGGAAAATTGATGACCATTTTCACTGTAATATAATGACCATTTAAAAAGAAGCGGGTTTTTAGCTAGATGGGAAGCACTGGCCTGAATGGTTAGCATTAGATATTATCATATTCAAGTCAAAATCAAGCAAAACATGACATGACTAACTAACACCAACATTTTTTTTATTGTTCAGCTTTAAGGGAAATACATCAGTATGGAGACAGATTAATTAATGATTTATCCAATGAAATTGTGAAATTAAAATGACTTTGAGAAGCGAAACATATAATAATATAGCATTCCCAAGATAGTCAAAAGACAAAAACGTGCGATTAGCAATGGATATCGATGCTCAATACCCCCGTTTGGAATTCGCCTTTGCTCAGTCTTAGCCTCGATTGTGTACGAATTGTTCTTAAGGCCCATTGTATAGTAAGGAATGTACGCACTACGGAACAATACGAGTTGATTAAAATGCCACGGGTTTTGGTTGAATAGCTTTTGTTACTGAAATACAACATGGCCGCGATGGCGTAACGCGCAACATATTTAACTCAAAGGAAACATTAGCTAAACAGGATATAAACCCCAAGAACGAAAGCGCTATGCTAAAATATATCAGACATGCGGGAAATACATGTGTTGTGGTTTATGGATCAGTTTATGTCAAAATGCTTCAAATTTGGCTTATATCCGTAAAACAGGACATTTTCCCCACAGTACACCAACAGCATTTGCGGCTCGATCTCCCACAGCTATTGATGGGTTGCAAGCATTCCCAAGAGAGTCAAAAGACAAAACCATGGCGGCCATTGTGGTGCCGTTAACAATGGATGCTAATGAAAAATCTTTTGTTAAATGGCACCAACATGGCCACGATGACGTAACGTGCAAGCCAAGAATAATTGCCTTCATAATATACTAGGCCACAGTATATTTGAGATATAACAATTCCTGAAGAAACAAATGTGAAACTTGTGCAAAAAAAAAGCAAGAGAATGCGGATGTAACAACACTCTTACATCCTTTCTTTTTCAATTTGAAACTTTTCGATTCGACTAACTATGAAGACAAACAAAATAATCTATGCAGTGTTTTGTTTCCTCCCTACTGATTCCCATATAACTTTAAAACATTGAAACACATGAATACCAGAGAATTCTAAACTAATTTACTGGTTATTGGTTTACTCTTAATCCCCTTCCATTACATTCATCTTTAGCCTCCGCAGGTCACTCCATATTTATCGTACAGAATTTTATTGGGATTCCTGTGTTATAGGAGACAGAGAAGAACCCCTCCTTCCCCCTTGGTTTTTTCTCCTCTCCACAGGAAGTCCGAGAGCAAAGGAGATGCCTGCGGAGTAGACTTATTCACTTTTATGCTTGCATAGCACTCACAGGACTAAAGTCAGCAACAACTACAATTTCCTTCTTCACATCAAAGACCTTAATGAAAGTGGTATTTAGTGAGAAATTGTAGTAGTAGGAATTATAACCACGACCGGCCAGTGATTCGGCCATCTCGTCATTGTTGACGCCATTTTCTTTTGGAACAGCTTCTCCATTCACAGTGATTCTAGAGGGTTCACCGCTGGCCAGTAAAGCTACGTAATAGAAAGTCTCCCTGGGAGTAAACTTGTCATGTTTACGGCTGAAAACTACACGGCGCTGGTTGTGAGTTTCTGTGAAAGAAACGAAGAGTGATTAGTCAAATTTTAGACTTGAATATAAAGTTTCGCGTGCTGTGATTGGTCGAGCAAACCGTAATTCTAAGACGACAAACACTGCTCTCAGGCTCAGTGATGGTAAAGACTCGCGGTGAAGACTAGTGTAAAAATAAAATTCACCCATAATCACTGCAGGGATGTAATTTTAACCTAATTTCGTCTTGCTAAAAACTTGTGTACTTAACAAACCTTCGTGTGAAACGTCCACAATTCTGTACTTCAGCTCCTTCTCAGCTGCATTCGTCACACCGTCGTCATCCAGATAAAGCGTGTACTTGTCGCCTCGTCCAGGGTAGATGTTGAAGGTTAATGGATTGTCCTTTCCTTGAGAATACAGCTCACCAATGTACTGCTCAAGCTCACGAGTAGGAATGATGGCACCTTCGCGCACGTATAGTGCGCAGTTGTCTGAGCCCATCTTGTCCCATGGAGCGTAGAAATCGAACTCCACCCCTCCCATGACGGGTGCATCAAGAGGCTTTTTGTTATCCTTGAAGTGGTACCATTTGCTACCAGAGGGGAGGTAGACGGGACGGTTTGTTTGCCCTGGGTTGACAATAGGGCAAACGAGAAGATCCTTTCCAAGGAAAAACTGATCATCCATGCGGTTCGTCACGTAACCATAGTAACCCCAGCCATGATCGTCATCAGCTGCAGGATCGTTGTTGTAGACTCCAACCTTCACTTCGTCCATGAATATCGGACGGCAGATTGGCTTTCCAGTCTGTACAGGGAAGAATTGAATTGACTAAATTTTTTCAGTTTAGCGAGAAAAGAACTTGACAATAAATTAAAACTTGTCTTGACCAAGTCTGTTACACCTATCTGAACAATTTGTCCATTAGCTTATCAACCTACCAGACTTTCTGTCCATTCATCCACCCAAACGTCTATTCATTCATCTATACATCTATTATTTCATCCACATACATTTATCTACCAGTCAATCGATAAATTTATCCAACATTTCATCCAAATGCATCTATAGCTTCCATCCATCAAGTTCATCTATCCATTTACCAAGCAGTCCTTCCTTCCTCCCATCCATCCCTGCATCCTCCCATCCATCCCTGCATCCTCCCATCCATCCTCCCATCCATCTTTCCATCCCTCCATCAATCCATCCATCCGATTACCTTTCTCTCTGAATATTCACAGATCACGTCTTTCATCATCCATGGACCATACTCACCTGTGTGTTTCCAAACATTGCGTCATAGATGTATTGAATCAAACGGTAACGCAGTTCGATGTACTTTCGGCAAATACTCGGCACCGGTTCGCTGTATCTGTAAGGTTCTTGGTAAGGTTTGTAGTAGTTGTCGTAGTGGTTTCTGAACCAAGGCAGAAACGCTCCCATTATTGTCCACCGTACCAGCATCTCAGGCTCAACAATTTGTCCTTGAAAAGCTGCACAGAATCCACCAATGTCACAACCAGAGATTGCCTGGCCAGATAATCCAATGTTCAGGATCAGAGGGATGTTAATACGAACAAATTCCCAGTTGGAAGTACTGTCACCGGTCCAAAGCCCTGCGTAACGGTGAACGCCCACAAAGCCTCCTCGTGCAATGATAAAATGACGTCGATCGGGTTGCAGCTTTTCAAGACCTAAAGAATACCATATAAATGTAAGATTCTTTGTCTTGAGAAATGGTCACGCATAGCAAATATGCAAACGTGTCGTTTATATGTGATATGTGACAGAATTTGTTGATAATAAGGCTATTTAGATTGACGGTTTAACTCTAATTTCCTACGTTTTTGGTCTTTTATTGGTTTTGTATTCTTTTTTAGTTGTTTTTGTTGTTGTTGTTGTTGTTTTTCGTTCCCCCCAACCTTGCTTTTCTTGTTGAATATAAACACTGAAATGAATATATTCGAATTTTGTGGATGACAACGTACCTTTGTATGTAGCCTTACAGAGGTTGTAGTTGTACAGGCAACGAATCTTGGCAAATGGCTTCTTATCTTCAAGGTGAGTGCTATGATCATCGTACCTAAAGTATGAGAAACGTCATGTAAAATATAGCTGAAAATACCCAGAAAATTGGTGGCCTACTACAAAGCTAATGAGGGGGACGTGGGTACATCCCTATGATCTCTCGGTTTTGTCACCAACGACAGTGTAACGCCAGTGGACCCTTCTCAAAAATTTTTGAATGCGAGGTTTAACATTGAAAAACAAAAGAAATGCCACAAATTCCAACGAGAGAAGAGCGGCTTCATTCGTGTTTTCATGTTACCTCACAACCACCGATAAATTCGAGAAGGATCCATTGAGTTATTTTCCAGACATTTCGACTGGAAGACATTTCTATGTACATACCTTGTCTCTTCATTATCAGATAACATCACATCCATAGGAAAGGATAGAAACGGACAAGGATCCTGGTGAATGCTGGCCTTCATTGCAGGTGTGGTCATGTCCTGCCAAACAAAATCAAGGCCCCAGTCTAAAAGGTCCCTGTATTGCTCACCCCACCACTCTTGCACATCGTGCCGTCCCAAATCTGGATAATGACCCCATGTAAGATGACCACGACCATAGTTGACATTCCCAATATAAAAATCGTGGGTGCCACTTCCGTCTTCACGAGTGTTCCTGACAAACGCGTTCTTCTGTTTTCCTGAATCGAGTGCTTTGTAAGGGCTATGCTCTCCTTCTTCGTCTGCATTACAGCTGATAATTGGGGTTATATTAGTGGACATCTTAAACCCCCAATCATGGAGAGCAGCAAACATTCCCTTCGGGTTGGGGAACTTCTTTTTGCTGTGAGTGAAGGTTCGGTAGCTGTCTTGAAGGTCGACATCCACGTGCAATCCATCGATAGGAATCTTCCATTGTCGGTATTTCAGCGCAACCTCCATCAGCTTCCACTTGTTGTTGTAATTCCACCCATAGCCTCCTTGGTGGTAGCCAAAGACGTGCTTAGGTTTAAGCTTCGTGCGACCAGTCAGCTGCGTAAACTCGTTCAGGACTTCTGCGACGTGATCTCCCGCGAAGAAGTAGTAATCGAGCTCACCGTGAAGCGCTCCGATGTAATATTGGTCACCCTGCCTTAGATTTATGTATGTCTGGGAGGTGTTGTCAAGCAGGATTCCATACGCGTAGGACGGCCCACTGAAGTCACCAGTTGGACTAGGATTGTGTTCGATAAGGAATGGGGATGACTGATAAAGAGGGCCATTAGGGTTCAACGGTCCCTGGACTTCACCTTCAGGCGTCAAATCGGGCGCGGCGTACCCAAAGTTGTCATAGTTAAAGAATGTTAAGGCTGAGCCCAGTTTCTCTTTGTTGTCGCCTCCGAAATTACCATAGAAGTGCTGCTTAGGTACGCGTCGTTTGTCCAGCGTCACGCCTGCTTTTTCACCAAAGCCAAAGTAGCATGCATTTTTCGGCGCCATCTTGAAGTTAGCCACCGCTTCTCCGCCTGCTTCTTTTGGGATGTAGACAAGGTTATAATCATCAGGATCAGCGTGGATCAGCTGGTTTCCTCTGTAAACTGAAAGTGCATACTTGGTGAGGTTGACTTTGACCTTGATACGATTAGTCTCAATGATCAACACTTTGTTCTTTTCTTCAACTTTGATTTCGTGTGCCTCGATGCGCTCAACTTGTGTGGCAGGGGAACGACTCTTTACATATGGAGCATTAGGATCAGGATTAAAGCGAACACGAAAACTCGTGTGAGAAAAGAAGTAGATGTACAGCTTGTGTCCAGAGTCAAAGTTCAAGGTAAACTTGTCCACGATTCCTTCCTCCTCTTGTTTCCAGCTTGTCACGGTATTCAAGGGTTTCCAAGTTACTCGCGACTCAGGAGTGAACTCATCAGGTGGGACATATCTGTAAGCCATCCTTTTGCAATCTAAAAGAGATCAAATTATAAATGATTATATATCTCTTATATATATCGAATGCAAAACTGTTAAACTGTGGGACTTGACCCTAGCAGAAATTTCCAATTTGAGAGTCAACACAAACAAATTCGGCCTTTTTCAAGAGGAAAACATTTTTTGATGCTAATATTTTTCATCGTATTCGGACACCCAGTTGGAAATTTTACTGCATCTCTGTCTCTATCTGTATCTAAGACGGAACAAATCTATAATTAATTATCTCCTTCATCGACGAAACCCCATCAAAGAGATATGCCCCTATAAAAATATTTACATTTCAATCTTCCGTTAGCGAAATATCCTTACTCTAATAAATACAATATGACGTTGAAACCATTGCAAACATCTCTAATTTCATCAGTTCTCCCATGATAACATCAATTTATGAGCACTGGATTAGATAAAGATAAAGATAAAGTCAAAAATTTTGTCAGATTAGGGTACCCGATTTAGAGGGGAAGGGTGGGGATAATTGGTACCCACCACCTCTGGAAGGGGAATCCTGGAATTTGTCCTCAAATATCTCCTAAACTAAAAGTCTTATTACAGAAATGAGTGTAATGCTTGTTCGAATACACGCTAAACAATGTATTTTCATAAAGAAATTGCATGAATATTTTTAGGAGCAAGTGCTAGGCTAACTAATTTGCAGGCTTTCAGCAAAGCAAGCCTGGCTTTTCTTATTAAGCTTGGATCACTGTGGAAGTAATGCTCGGAAAATGAGATGTTGAATGATGAAAATATGTTGGAAGAAAATAATTGGAAGTCAGTCCTCCAATCTTTTGGACAATTCCTTGGCCCGCTATGGAAATACGTTGGAAACATGTTGGAAATATCATGGAAATATATTGGGATTTATTTAGTGATGACAAGTCGTGCATTTCGGAAATTTGTGAGGAAATATGTTGGAAGCCAATGTTGGAAATACGATGGAATGTCCAAACTAAATCAAGGGAGCACATTAAAAATTTGTTTGTATAAGGAAATTAAAGGTATTGTTCTTGGTTGATCTATCTAGCGCGCGCAATCCATCATGTGACAGGCGTTCCTCGTAGTGTTTTGGTTTCGTCGGTTTTCGGAGTAAATTCGCTAGCCCGACTGAAGCAAGGAACGCCTGCCATAAAGTGTAGCGCGCGCACGTAAACAAGCACTACGAGGAACGTACGTCTGTTATATCTTAGATTACGTGCAATAAAATCGAAGATAAACCAACACAATCAAAATTTTAACGTGCTCCCTTGACTAAATCGATGGAAATATATTGGAAGTTTTATAGAAGTATATTCATGAAAGTCGTGCTTTTTCCTACTCAGCGTGGAACTCTCACTCACAGGTATCATTAAAAGAGAAGAAACTGTAGCAGACACAGGGCTGTCAACCCCCAAGATATTCAAATCTGGAGAATTGATAGGGAAGGGACATGACGTCACAACGCGTCAAAAAGCGCGCGAAAAGACGTCTTTCGCTTTGTAACATTTGATGTGATTGGTTTATTTCTGACCAATCAGATTATCGCTTATATTACAATGGCCTGCTTGCAAGAACAGTTCATGAGGAACGTTTTGATTTTGTTAGCGATATAAAATAACACAAACAACATGAAATAATTGGAATTTTATGGTTGTGAAAGTCTAGTCTCACAAGACAAGAAATGGTCAGCTTCGGGGATTATCCGGGAGATTTGATACTCTAATCTGGAGACCGGGAGACACGGTCCGAAATCTGGAGACTCCCGGTTTATCCGGGAGAGTTGACAGCCCTGCAGACAGACATTTTTATTTAAGAAATATCTTAGTTGAATAACTTATGCAATATATATATATATATCTGTGTGTATTTAGACTATCACTCATGTAAGGCGCATTTAGGCTAGAATGCAATTTCAGGGGCAAGTAATAGTTTTTCCTTGTGCTCCTAGTTCATATATTATTTATCTCACGAATGATTTACCTTTAAGTTCCGTTACTAGATAGTAAATTAGGTGATTAGAGCCAATTTTTTTGTCAAACATCGACTAAATAAAAGAGAATTATGTACTGTTTGATAAACGAGCGAGAGTATTTTATCGGGTATAAAACACGAGGCGTAGCCGAGTGGTTTTAGACCCGATAAAACACGATCTGCGAGTTTATTGAACGGCTTAGAAAACTCATGATGTATGTTCTCATATGGTACAGAATTCTTTACGAAATGAACCAAGTTTGACAGAGAAAATGAAGACGAATCTATATCCGATATAAAATCACCTTCATGGTCATGATTTCTATTGTGTTTTCCTCATGAATTATTAATGAGTTTTCTAAATACAGTTTAAGAAACGGAACCCCTCTTTGAAAAATCCTGGATCCGCCACTGTTTAAGGGGAAAGTGAAGATATTTTATTATCCTTATTGATGCTTTTGTGGACAGTGATTATGATAAATTGTATCCTTGTCGAACAAAATTGATTTTATTCGGATGTTTTTAAACCATCTCTTTTACATAGTTGTTCTCCCTGGATGAAGTTGGTATTATATAAATATCAGCTTAGCTGTTTACCTTCCTGTTTAATATTGCTAAGCCATCCATTTGTAAGTTTATATATTTATGAAAAGTACATAGAGACTTTTTAGTTGTTTTTCTTATATACACTTATTTCCAATAAAGTTAGTCACCAAAAAACCTAGAAAGCTGAGATCACTGAGTATCTTGGGAATTTTTGAATATCAAACAAAGCTTTTGATACGATTTGCAGCTTTAGGATGCTCAGAAGAGGTGAGACTGTAACTGGTAAAAGATCTAAAATCCCTCAATAGTTATAAAAGCAGTTGAAACATGTAAAATATATCTACCCATAATCCTTGCAGGTCTCAGCTTTGTAGCTTTTCAGGTGACTAACTTTATTGAAATAAGTGTATGTACTTGTTAGAGACAGCTATACTTGTTGTCAGTATTATTGTGGTCAGCTACACTATGACAAATAAATCAAATATAGAGGCAGGCAATAAATAAACAATAAATGGCAACTATAAATAACCTTCATGCCTACTCGCAGCACTTTACTTGCGATATGCAACAGCTAGTAAACAGGGCGCTAATTTGCATGTGGTATGAACCGTATTACATGGCCATTGCTATGTTTGAACGTCTTCAGATAACCTTGGATAACTCACGCTTGCATTAAGCTATTTCCTTCTAAGTCGCCACTTCTAAGTCACCACTTCCAACATATTTCCATCATTTGCAGCGCGCAGAATTTTTCTCGTGTAATTAAGGACATTAAGGTGGCTCGAGTGTATGAGTTTTTTTCGGCGCTCTACCTTTCAACTCTTCTACGCTCTACCTTTCAACGGACGCGGACGCAAAAGATTCATTGGGGAAAAATGTCTTAAGGGCCAGGAACCAAGGGCTGGAGTAGCTACACAATACCCCGCAAAAATGAAAAAGGGTTTGAAGGGCTGCTTGACAAAGCGTAAAAATACAAGTGTGCGACATAACACAAAGCATTATCATACAAATAAAGAAAAGGACCGAGTCTTAAATAACGCCTAATGAAATCAAAGTCAGAATGAATTACTTTAGAGAACAAAGAATTCTGTTCGAAGTCGCCACTTACTTCCAACATTTTAAAAAATATTTTATTTCATTTTTATCTTTATCTATTTTCATTTTATTTTTTTATTTAACTACAGACTTTCCATGCATTTTGTTTTGCATTTACCCGCCTTTCCTTCTAAAACTCAATGATATATCGCAGCGCGCTCATTCAGTGCATTCACCCAAAGAATCACTGCAGATGAAAAGTCTACAAATTGCCGCTCCTCTGCACTCATCCAACGCAAATTCCGCAAAATTAGGATCACTCCATAATGGAAACTCAATCTCACTGCAAATAATCATTATTGTTCATATCGAACCCTGAAACAATCCCTGGGCTGATCTAAGTTAGGGCACAGATAGAACCCTGAAAAAACATGTCGGCTTTTAGTTGGTTAGGTCTTACACTTGATTTTCCCTTGGTTCTCACATGAGGGTCATACAGCAAGGCTCACCTCTAGTTTTCCTGCAGTTTCGTCAAGAATTCACTTGCGTCTTCAAAGAAAAAGAAAGTTCCTTCGAGCACAATGGTCCGCTGAAACTGAGCAAGAAGGGAGTGTTTGCGCTTACGTGGGGTCAATCATTCGAAACAAAAATAATACATTTTATATTTTATCCTTTGCATATCATAACGAGTTTTAGAGTGCACGTCATACACGGAATGGACATATGGCGACTAATTTGAATAACATTAAATATAATTGTCCTGCACCAAGAGACTGACTAGCCTCTCAAACATTTCAAAACATTTTTCTGTTTCCACGTCAGCCATCATGAGGCTAGTTAGTCGGTGCAGAGCTATTCTGGTCGCCATATTTCGATTCGGTGCATATATTCGTGAAGAAAAAAAAAACAAAGATGTATTGTCTACCCCTACGCTACTTTGTTTGGTAGCACTGAATAGCTGTATGGCGTGCACTATATTCGCTATTACACGTTAAAATTACAAAAATGGAAGTTTGAAAGAAAGAAATTCAAAATTCGCAAAGATATAAATTCCGAAAAGTGTAAATTTTGTATGCCAAAACCTTTGCTCGTAGGCATCTCTTGCCTACAAACGAAATGCTTTCGTATAACAATTTGATTTTTGAAAATTCATATCTTCGCGAGTTTTAAACTCACTTTCTTCAAACTTTAGAGTTTTACTAATTTCAACACGTTCTTTCCAGCTGTCGCATTTACTTTTCTGTCCTGTGAGTTTTGGAATTACGTGATAAAAGATCATTAGTTGATCTATTAGTTAGCCGTGCATGGTCTGTAATCACCCCAGAGGCGGTTTCGAAGGGCGGTATCCAATAGAATAGGCATCTTTTAAAATATATATATGTTATTTACCGGCCAGGAGGTCCGGATAGGGAAAAACTGTGCCCGAGGTCTTGAATATACGGACCGAGGCCGTTAGGCCGAGGTCCGTGTTCAAGACCGAGGGCACAGTTTTTCCCTATCCGGACCGACTATAGGACGGTAAATAACTTATTTATTTTTTTCCCGTATTTTTTTTACTTGTTTTGGTAATCGTTTTGTGTTGTCGTTTAGCGGCAAAGGATACCGGACCGCGCGCGCGGGCAGATACTTACAAAATACCGCCCGCTCAAACAGCCAATCAGAACGCACGATTTTTTAGGATACCGGACCGGAAAAAAATAAAGAATTATATTCTCCATCTATGAAATCCCTTCAAAGAGATATTGCTATACAAAAATATTTGCATCTCGATCAGTCTTTCATTTATCGAAATATCAAAGAACCTGTTTGTCGAAACCCTTGCAAATAGGGTCTCTGTTTTTCGATGATCAAATTAATTAAATATTAGGGCCAATTTTAATATTCATGATATGTGTAAACCATGAAGAAACAAGTAAACAATATGTTGGGATTAGAGGGACTTATTGCTCGCAGTCTTCCGAGTACACTTTGATGCACTTTTAACACGAAATAAATTTTTAAAATGTTACACCAACCAGAAGCTTTTAGGTCGTTACTAGTAACTGAAAACATTAAAATGCGTTAAAAATTAGCTTTCAATCAACTTCAAGCTAATCTAGGCATTCACAAGAACATAAACTTTGTTGATACAAAATCAGTCATGGGTTAATTGTCATGTATCCTGCATCCTAGTGTTTTCACTGTTATAAGATATTCTCTTTCTCCATATCTGTTAACTATTCAGATATAACTAGCTAAAAACTAGTGTGAGCTGCGTCGGTGTTTCTAATGAAACAGTAATGATGAAAAGGTAAATTATACACCGTGAAAAGATGAAAAAACTTACTGACGTTTCGGACGCTAGTCCTTCGTCGGAGTAAAAGAGAAAGAAGTGGTAGAAAGGAGTGTATATATGATAGAATAAGACAAAAGAAACCAATGAGAGCAAGGTAGGCAAGGAAACAATCAAAAGACAAAAGAAAAGGTTAGTTGAAAATAAAGCGTTCATTAATCCCGTTGGGACTAAGAGTGCCCAATAGGTGAATAAGCCGCATGTTAACTATTCATTTGGGCTAGTTTTATTTCATTTATTTTATTTAATTATTAAGCTTCCAACAATCAAACTCTGTGCGGAGAACTAGACAGGCGACATTCCACCTAAAGATAGTCTCCAACTAAAATTAAAAAAAAGAAAAAAAAGCATCTAAATCAGTTATTAGTTCAACTAAGTAATACTAATCATTCTAGTCTGACCAAATTTTAACTTGTAGATAACGTGCTATAAGGTCTAATTGCATTGTATTGGAATAATCCCTCAATATTAGGAGGGAGCATTCACGTTTTTAGGAGGGGGTGGGCAGGAGAAATCCAGGGGAGGGCCATTAAATTTCTACTCAGTCAAAAAGGGGGGTCATCAAATATTTCATACTACATAAAGTGGAGGGTTAAGAATTCAACAAATTTTCAAGGGAATCAAGGGCCACTTTTTTATGCAGACAGGGGCTAAAGATTTTACGTTACTGTTGATAGGGATTCCTCCGGACAATCCTCAACCCCTCCCCTCCCCGCTCGAACCAGTTTTTTTCCTCAAGCTCTAAATCGGTTAATGCGAGCTAAAACTTTGCCTTGCTACTATTTACAATTGAACTGGTGTGACAATATACCTACTCCCAATGATCGAGGTGTGATAGACCGTACATAGCCAAAATTCAGCAGTATTAAAGTGAAGAGAGAAAAAATCATATAGAAATATTCAAAAAAAGTAAAACACGATTGATGTTGCAAGAAAAGAACATGTATATATATATCTTGCATTTTTATCCATAGAACACATTTTACTGTAAGATATTATTATTATCATCATCATCATCATCATTATTATTATTATTATTATTATTATTAATACTATTAATATTACTCTGAGTGGATTTGAATCAGGGGCAACCCCATGGATTATATATTGTCATGACTGAGCCCGATGTTGCGTGACAAGTTCACGTCCCAGAATCACCCACGCTTGAAACGACCAAACGCCAACATTCACTGCGTTCGAGCCGTTTTTGTTCAAGAACAACGAGGCAATATGACCAATGTTATCAGAGATCTGAGATTTTCTAAATTCCTGAAAGCACAGTGGATCAGTAGTGTCAAAGACTACGTAATTTCGGAGCGAACTATCGTTACAAACATTGGAGTCAGCCCAGCTGTACTGGCTACTGCAAGCCCTGTAAAAGCACTCGCACCTCGTACATCTACTATCTTAAAAGGTATAGCAAAGAAAGTTGCTCTGTGTTCAGTACTCTTGCAAAATATGTCGATTTTTATTGATTTAAACGCCCTTTTCTTTCTTTATATTGGAAATTTAGGGTCTTCAAAGTTGCTTTTTCATATACTTGTTTACGTGTACGAAGCAACCAAAAAATTCCCAATCGACAACTACTCATCCTTTGAATAAGTTTTTACGTGACTGGCTACACGCACAAGGTGAACTTTTGCCTCTCGGTTTAGTTTCAATACGTAGTGTCAAAACAGACCTCGTAGGGCATAGAAGGAAAGGTTTTTCGTCGGATAATGGTTGTAAGAAATTAACCCCCCTCTCCCTGGGGCATTTCAGGTGTGACGATCAAGACTGCTGACTCTTTGGTCCTCATACAGATTCCTAATGAAGACAATATTGGAGGCTGTGTCCTTGAGGATGGTTGGTATCAGCTGAGCAAACAAGCACCAGATTTCCCCAAGGACATCCCTTTGTACAAATCACCACAGTTTGATGTTGGTAAAGTGGCATTTGACCCATTTTTGGCCACAGGCCAGGAGTCAACAACCCAAGGTATTGCACGAAGAAGATGCTTTCTTTTCTCTTTCTTCACACAACCCTCCTCCTTCTCAAAAATTTCCCAAAAATTGTTGTGTTTTCAATAATTTCTGCTATGTCTTCGAAAAGAAACAAGTCCAGCACCCATTGCCCTCCCCCTTGCTCTCCCCCTTCCCTGTCAACACACAACTCTTAATGTTCTAATAAGATGTAGCAGCCAAGCCCTTAATAAGTATATCATATCCTTATTCATTAAGGTCTAAAACAGCACAATGTGAAGGTCAATGTCTGGTTCTGTCCAGCCAAGACCCACTGTGGCATTCACAACATGCATACTAATCCAGAAATGCTAGAGGTCCATACTCAGGTATATGGCACGGGTAGGATGCAGAAGTTCCACTGCAATGACTTCGATACTCTGTACGAAGATGTGATTATGAACCCTGGGATGACCCATGTACCATTCACTGGAGTGGAGGATTCTGGCAAGTACATGTACCCCTGGCACCAGTACTATGGTGATACAGACTGCATCTGGATGGCTGTAGAGTATCACCCTTGTAAATGAAATGCATTTTCCTACTTCTTTGCTGCACAGTGATGGAATTGACCTAGTAGGGTGGGGTGGAGATAATTGTAACACACAGAATCAATGTACCCTCCTCTAGACAGGTTGTTTTCAGGATTTAATTAAGGATTAAATCAAGCACAGATAAAATAAGATTAAATAATGATATAAAACAGGAAATCGATGGTTTGCAAACATCAAGTATTTCAGATGAACATAATAAGTGAATAAAGACTTAATGTTTACATGGTATTTATTTATTCCTTTTTATGACGTATTCATTCTCATTCTTAAAATTAATGGCGTAGAATTTTTTTTAAAAGATCATTCCTTTGTCAAGATTACGTATATTTACATCTTTACAAATTTCATACTCGGTAATAACAAGATCAAGATAATTGGAAAAGGCGGGAAACAATCACATGACATGTACCAACGTATCTGAAAGAAACGTTCAAAAGTTGTTTTTTTTTTCGCTGAAAATTAAGCGAATTTCCAACCTAACTTCTTAATTTTGTTTTCACTTTTTTCTGTTTTTCTTTGTGTGTTGGTTGGTTATATTTTTTGGTAAATCGCTTATAAAATATCAACCTAGTTTATTTGTAATTGTTGACGATTTGACGGGCACGCCCAAAGTGATGGCCAGCTTGAGTAGCTCCCGCTGAGGAACCGACACCCATTTGGAGGCTAATGTGAGATTTGCCTTCGTTGAGTTGCTCTTCTGTGAAACGTCTTGGATTCTTTTTCGACTCCTTGGGCCCCAGGGGAGGTACTTCCATTCCCATCGCAAAAGCCTGAAAGAGTAAAGGCATTTGAATATTGAAGGGGGTATCCAAACTCGTTCCCAGTGCTTCCTCAAGTTTCTAGTTGAGGAGGAACTGGGAACGAAGACGAGCCTAAATGAGTCCGTGGTCATGAAAAACAGCGGTATGCATCTAATGGTATTTACCCTTCGCCCTACAGCAGTTATGCAGCATATCACCTGAAATAAAAAATTTGAAGATACTTAGCCAATTTATGGACATCCCTCAGTTTAGCAGGATGGTGAAGCAGAGGAGTTTTAACGCAGCATCATTTATTACTTACGTTCCACATATTTCTCTTTTCGTATAAGTCCACAGTTTGAAACAGATCGTACTTCGCTACACCAAGAGTTTCTTCGCAAAATTTTAAAAATTTACTAATATTTTCCATCTATAAAAAAAACAACAACAACAACAAAGAATCGATCGTTACTAAGCAACAATGAAAGAACAGACCAGTGATAAGCATTAATGAGTTTACCGCTGACCTGTTTGAATGGCATACTTTGTGCGTTGATTTTGATGTTCCCCCCGAGAGCGTTTGCAAGTCTGGAACCGAGAAAAAGAGATAGAGTTATTTTTGACGGTTAAAAACCTTCTCTCCCTCGTCCCCTTTTTTTGGCAAACAAAACATCCCATTTCTTCCCCGTTGAGTTCTATTCTCATCTACAAAGCACCCGCCATCCCCTCCCCCCTTGAATACCATTCTTACCTACAAAGCACCCCATCCCCTACCCCTTGAGTATTGTTCTCACCTACAAAGCACCCTATCCCTTCCACCCTTGAATACCATTCTCGTTTACAAAGCACCCCATCGCCTCTCCCATGAGTACTGTTCTCACCTACAAAGCACCCCATCCCCTCTCCCCTTGAATACCATTCTCACCTACAAAGCACTTTTCCATCCCGCAAGATGTCATGTACGCCATCTGGTCCAGTCTTATCTTCAAACACCCGTTCATCCATCACGCACTCGATCCATTGCCTCGCTTCTTTTTCCTTTTCTTCGTCATATTTAGAATTAATCTGAAATATTCAAATAAAGAGTGCTTTGATAGCAAAACCAACATTGCTGAGAATTGCACACGAAATGGTCAATACCTCAGTATTGGTCCATTGAACAAATACAATTGCATAACGGATGTTCGAGATGAGACCAAGAAAGAGTGGTTTTCGCGCGAAGTGGTAGGCGGAGAAAAATTCTCTGCAACGTGCAACGCACTCGATGTTCCTCCCTTGCTAGGAAAAAGCTAACCAAAAATAGTTGACCCATAATTCCTTTCGGGGAACGCGCTCATCAACTCAGCTGGGCTCTGTCGTGAAAACATGCGGCGAATAAACTTTAGAAAATGCCAAAACCAATGCCAAAGTGATCAGTCTATAAAACTCAGGTTATAATTCTTCATATTGTCTTTGTTAGTCTATTATCTTAGTCTCGAAAAAGTATACTTACAAAATTTCTTGAACGTATATTCAGAGAAAACGAATATTTATTTCAATCGCTAAAACTTGCCTGAATTCTTGAATCACACGCATGCGCAAACGTTTATCGCTAGTCTTCACAAACGCTTTCGAAATCTTTATTTTTAATAAATATTTCAAGTTTCACAGCAATAGAAAATGTTAATGTTTTTCTTAATATCCTTATTATCCAACAGAGGTTACAGACCTATTTAAACACCAGGTCCTTTAATTAACCTATTTTTGCAATGAAGTTCCTATTTAAAACTCGAACAACGTTGGTAATTAGGATGTTTGTGAGCTGTGTTAGATTTAATTGCTTAATTTATTCTCGAGATTTCAAGAATCATCTTTACCAAAGATATTGAACTTTGAACTTTTTTTTGAACCACATCCGAAAGATAAGCAATAATATTCATATAATTTATTAATATTATTAGGATAATCATCGTCGCAAAACTAATTAAAATTATACTTAGGAAATTTATATTTCAGTGTCATATTTCAAGTATTTGCTTGGCTTTATCACTGTTTTGTTTGTGTTGTTGTTTGATTTTAAACTCTCAAAACCAGAAAAGATAGAAGGCAAGAAAAGCTTCAAAAAACAACTGTACGAGCAACAAAAAAGCAAGCATAGGCAGGCGTAGAAAAACACGAGGAAAAAATACGAGGAAAACAAAATTAAAAATATAAAAATATAAGGAAGCTATGATTACGTGAGGAGCAGAAAGACATACTTTTCGTTAAATTGGATTAGAAGACAGTACTATTGAGTAAACATGGTAAAAAAAAGGCAAAGAGCAAAGATGCGACGTTTTTGAGCAGACTCAATGAAAATATCTTTTCCCTGAATAAAGGATGCACTTCATATTGCTAAAACGCTTTAAAAAAAAGGAAATAATGACCTAGCTCAATTCAATTAAAAACCTCATGAAAGCAATACGTGGGTAGAATACAAAACAGGTGCAAAGAATATACTATTAAATAGAATGTATGAATTGATAAAACATGCAAAACATTAGCTTTTAAAAATGAATTGTAAGCGAAGTACACAAGTACTGATATACAATAATTCTGATTTACTGAAGATGAATAAAATATATAGATTTCGGTCGACGAGATGAGCTGAAATCATCAAGTCAARAACGCCCAACGAATTGTAACTCATGTACATTTTCAAAATATGGTTTTTGAGTCGAATAGTTTTGATATACAATTAAGCTCATTGAGAGCGAATTTGGCTTAAATGTCGAGAAAAACAACACAAGTTTGAATGTTTTTACATTCGTAGTTTAGCCGGCGATTTTACTGATTTCTCGAAAAGTAAACACGATATGCAAGCGCCCATCACACTATGCTTCTTCACATGCATTCCATTAATCACATTTGAAGCTCTCTTTTCGCTTTGTTCTTTTACTCACATAAAACCCTTTGAAAACTAAAATCCCGCATCTCAGATTAATCGAAACAAAAAAGCGTTGTGTTCTAGGAAAACGTTTTTAGGTTTTCAAACGCTGGTTGCCAATAATCACCTTTTTTTTTAGCGAAGCAACAATACAGTTATTCACTGATCAATTTTTCTCGCGCGAAAAAAAACCCCAAGTTTTTTTGTTCTATTTACCTTCATTTGGATTTCTCTGTCCAAACCAAATGATTCGCTCCTATTTGCCATTTTGAGTGAAGCTTTTTTTTCAAAGAATTGAGAAGATTCGAAGGGTATTTCAACGGTAGAATAGAATAATACCGTAGAGTGTGTAGTGAGGAATTAATTATGCAATGCGATAAGACTCCACATGGACACTTCGACTGAAACATCTTGAGGAATCTTCGGAAATCCCTCGTGACGTTTCCGACAGGATACTCGGAAATATTTGGTTTTTGCCATTAATATTTGGGCTGTCGAGGTATTTTTGATATTTTTAAAAACCTGTAGGAAGTTAGGGATTTAGTAAAAAATAAATGAAAAATGAGAATCGTGTAAAGAAATATCTTAATTAAGGGTTTTAAAAAAAGAGTTTTTTTTAAAGAATTGAATAGGTTTCAGTAATAAAATGAATCAATGAAGTAGAAAATAAAAAAGAGATTTAGCCGTGGCTTTTTAATTCTATTGACGTTAATATTTGTGGAGAGACCGCGGTGAACGCGGGTAAACTCCTTGAAGTACAGAAGAGAACGAACGACTAATATTGCCGGCTTTACGAATTTTCCATTCAAAGAAAAACTATTTTTGGGTGCTTCAACTTTTACTGTGTTAAACAATTATCATATTTACAATTATATTTTAGACATTAATTATTTCGCGTCATAAATTACACGAATATTTGTTCAAATTTCGGAGAACCTAACTATCTCAATGAAATTTAGAATAACATATTTGCTAGGACTCGGTGTTTTGATATAGGTCTTGTTGGACAGGATTTCTCGACAACTCGAGTCCATAGCTGTCAATATACATTACTCTAGTGCTAGCCATGAAGACCACACTATTGACAAGCTTGTTCGGTGCTGATGTTAAACGAGAAAGGATCGTCTGGGATGTAATTGAGTTGACCTGAAAGCAAAGAAATATCAAAAGATTCGGTTAGACAAACGAAAAAACTGATAGGGATATGCAGTCTATTATTTTTTTGATAATAGTTGTATGACGCAATAAAAAAGCGCACAAAAATTGTCAACACCAATGTATCATCATCATCATCAACAACATCAACATCATCACCACTGCCACTATCATCCGCACCATTATCATCATCTTCACCAATGCATCATCACCATCAGTGTCATCATCACCATCAGTGTCATCATCACCATCAGTTTCATCATCACCATCAGTGTCATCATCACCATCAGTGTCATCATCACCATCAGTGTCATCATCATCATCATCACCATCAGTGTCATCACCACCATCAGTGTCATCATCACCATCAGTGTCATCATCATCACCATCGGTGTCATCATCACCATCAGTGTCATCATCACCATCAGTGTCATCATCACCATCAGTGTCATCATCACCATCATCACCATCAGTGTCATCATCATCACCATCGGTGTCATCATCACCATCAGTGTCGTCATCACCATCAGTGTCATCATCATCACCATCATCATCATCACCAGTGTCATCATCACCATCAGTGTCATCATCACCATCACCATCAGTGTCATCATCATCATCATCAGTGTCATCATCTGTTATAGATTGATTTATTCGTGCTCTCGCTAGTACAAGTTCTGAATCACTGTTTACAAACTAGATCATTATATATCAGAGTACAGTCACGTGATCAGTATGACATTAACAATCAGATATATGACATCATCATCATTAATTTAGTAAAACAAGTAGAAAACATCTACCATTACTTTTTTCACCAGAAATTAGCGACTTACCAGACAAGTGTTCAGATCCAGCACTAGTAGCATATTCCTTCCATTCGACAAGATATCTATAAATAGAAACCACACGTCAGCAACCTATTCAAACCAAGTAAATCCAGAAGGTCTGCTCCATAACTACTTACTCATCAAAATTGAGTCCATTGGTCCATTCCAGCAACTCATCTACTTCCCAGTCCTCCACGGCCTCGTGTCCCCGAGCATCAGCCGCGTTCACCATGCCCTGGGCTACAGTCTTTATAATATTTTGTGTTTGAGGGTCGTTCGTCCCTTTGGCCTGTAACATGCCTTGTTTGTACCTAGGGAGGAGAGGGTGGAGGTGGTTTCTGGGGAAATTAGGAACTGGACACAAGGTGCAAAGTTACGGGCTTAAGTGTTATAGAGTTTTGAAATATTAAGCCACAAAGATAACGGCAATAGGGAAAGTACTTTTTATGGTGGCAAGGTTGTTGGCTTGGGCAACACACTTCCCCCTGTGAGCGGGTATTGCTGCATTGCGGACGTGGGCAACACACCTCTCCCTTTGAGTACGCATTGCCACATTGCTGGCGTTGGCAACAACCTTTGCCCTGTGGGCGCATAGTGCAACATTCATGGTAATGAATGGGATTTAGATTTGCAAGATCTTTGACTGCGACATCAATGGAAGTGTAAATAACTTCACTTTAGGGTTTTGGTGTCTTCATAGTCTGTCTTCCAAGTGGATGATGTGAGTTTCTTATATAGCACATTTCACATTGTCTCAATGCACTTTACATTTATGACCAGTGGAGGACTTTGTGGGCTGCATATTAAGGCGCTATTAGCAGCCGTGCCGTGGATGACTTGACTTTCACTGACAATGTTTTGAATGAAATCTCTAATGAACAGAACCCTGAAGAGAAATTGCTTACACTTCTGGTTGTAATGCTGATCTTGTAAATGTTAAGTCCCGTAATGACGTCATGGTCTTAAATTTCATTATTTTGGCATAACTGGTCAAAACCCAAGATAAGTTATATACTCACATTTTTTTCATCCATTCTATTTTTCTCTGTTTTCGCTTGACTTCTAAATCTTGTTTTCGAAGCATCTGAAGTGAAATATCCTATCTTTATTCCTCTCGTTCAAATATATATTATCCTTGGTGGCACTCGTTCACGTTGGCCACAAGGACCTTTGAGTGTCAAACCACATAAATAATAATCTTTATTGAGGATAAACAACGTCACAGAGTGATTTACAGAAGGGTCCTCCAAAATAGAACGAATCTATTGTGTTACTGCCTCGTTCTATTGTTTTATGATCCAATAGATCCTTTCTATCGATGTGAACGAATGCCAGCCATTATCCTTCAATTCGATTATCACTAAACTAGATATTGAATATACTATTTTTTATGTATTATCATCATTATTTTTTATTGATATAATAATAATAATTTTATAACTGTATCATTATCATCATCATCATCATCA